CCCCACCCCTAATGTTTTCTCTTATTAACATTATACATTCTACAAGATCAGTCAATCTTCTAGATGAACTAATGGCTTTATAAGATTAGGAAAATGGTTCCTCAAAACACTTTCTAGTAGCGCATCAGCTTTATCCTTTAAGTTCCCATTTGTTTTTAATTAAAGCTGTGCAGGTCTCTAGTTATTGGTCTTGAGAAGGTCGACCCAAATAAAATGAGAAGAGAAGAGAAGCTTGCCTTTTGGATCAATATTCACAATGCTTTGGTGATGCATGTATGGCTTGTGGAACTTTTATCTAGTTTTACTGCAAAAGCATTCGGGCTATGAGTCTGTAACTCAAAACTTCAATTTATCCTGTGCAATTTGTTTCTCTGTCTTGCAGGCTTATTTGGCATATGGAACTCAAAACTACATAAAAAGTAATTCCATCATGAAGGTAAAAATGAGTCTTATTCAATTCTCATTGTAATGGATTTTATTATGTAGATCTGATTGTTCCAAGTGCAAAGTTTTCTTTCAGGCAGCTTACAATGTGGGTGGACATTGCATAAATGCCTACGACATACAAAGCTCCATTTTGGGAATCCAACCTCACTATTCGGCTCCGGTATTTACATGTTGCTTAACATGCCTTCACATAAATTATAGTACATGCATAATTGTATACTTGATATAAAGACTGTTTACCGTAGTTCTATCTGCTTATTGTTTTGATCACTGTATTAAGTTGGATGATCTTGATTGAAAATTGATATCTATTATGCCCCCTGTTTGAGCCCCATTTTTTTGGGAAAATGATTTTTCAAATAGTTATTTTTTTGGAGAAAGTGTGGTTAAAAAGTAGGGGAAAATTTTGGCTTTACATGTAAAGTTATCTTATTTGAAAAATGTGTGATTGGAATGAGTTTGGAAAAAAAATGGATTTTTAAAGAATGGGGCTCAAACAGGGGAGTACATATTTAACGTCTTCACTGAAAAAATAAAAATGCTTGAATTTTCAGTGGCTTCAGACGCTTCTCTCTCCCGGAAAAAAGTTCAAGACTGGGAGCGGCAAACATCCTTATTCCATTGAATACCCTGAACTGCTTGTCCATTTTGCGCTTTGTTCAGGGGCAGTCTCAGACCCTGTGGTAATGCATTTATTCATGCTTTTTCATTCTGGCAAGTATCAGTTCCTTTGTGAACTTATATTTGGATTTTACTGGATGTAGGTTCGGATTTACACGGCAAACAATGTATTTCACGATCTTAAAGTCGCCAAGGAGGAGTTTATAAAGGCTACAGTATATGTTCATAAAGAAACAAAGTTATACATGCCAAAAATCCTTTCCTATTATGCAAAGGGCATGTCACTTAGCATGACCGCGCTTTTGGAAATGGTCAGTGAGTGTCTATTTGGAGTTCAACAGGAAGCTATTCGAAAGGTTGCCAAAAATAGACCTGAGAAGTACGTATACTGGTTAGAACAGAGTTCAGCTTTTCGATATTTAATCCATAAAGAAATTGCTGAAGGAATATGGGCTGCTTGATTTGTTTAATTTCCAATGTATTATGGATTAGAAATCAATTCTCTCTCTGTGATTGTTAACCATAGGCGTGCCTGGAGTAACATATCTCATAAGTTATCTTACAATGTATGTAGGTATTAAGTTAGAAGCAGGTTTCGTTTGCCACTGGTTTGTCTAACCCGAAAACTACTTCACTTTTGAACTTCTTTTCTTTGCTATATATACATTTGCTGCCTGGACATGTATGAAGGATCATCCATCGGTAGATAGTGAAGCTGTTTTGTCCACTTAGCTACATGTTTATTGAATCTTTGTTAGGTACTCGTATGCTCTCCTAGGTTGTTTCTTGAAGGGCATTTCACAGTTGTGTGCTTAAGTTGATGGGGTCGAGTAAAACTTATTATTCAAGAATTTCGGATGATGATTGACCTTATCGACTAATGGTATTGAGGGTCAAGTTGTGATTTTTATTTGTAAATTCTTTATTTCATCGACTATTGATATTGACTACTGGAGTCAGTAGTTTTTGCATCAAGAAACCACACAAATGTAACAATAAAAATACTTTACAAAAAGTCCTTACAAGTGAACCCTACTCTGAACATCTCGTATATATACACTCTATTTAACTAACATTATGCTCAACCTAATGGATCTCATCATTCACTTACTACTCGAGCCATTGCAAATGACTATGGCAAAAGTTATCCAAGTTTGTCTACTCGTACATAGGGGTTGACATCCAGGTGTACAAATAGAAAAACCCAAAGTTATCCTATTATTGTCTCCTAACTAGTCATAAAAGCTAGCATTGGGTGCACCCCCAAATTAGATGCTCAACGTTCTCCTAGACATCGTGTTGGGATTACTAGAAGTACTTTATATGCTAACTCTTTCATTAGAGTGTGGATCGTTATAGATTTTTACTCCTAGTATACTTTACTGAATCCAATTGTCATGTTATACATTTGTGCTACTGTATTGGATAGTCGAGCCAGTTTATTCCACGAGAACCAATTTGTTATTAGGTGAACTGAGAAAGTCGTGAAATATATGCTATAAGAAGAGTAACAAGAAGAATATTACCTCTCAATTTTCCTCCTTTATACATTTTATAGTGGATTAACCTCCTTTACCACGGACGGACCTATCACAGGGGGCCAGCTGAAAAACTCTTTTATAGTTCCATCACGGGGCACAATTCCCCATTCCCAACTTGGCAGGGAAGACAATCCCATTCCCCACTCTAGCTGGGAATTAATCCGTGTTAACGAATGCTCCTAATGGGTCTCGTCTCAACTCTTATTTTTATTATTTTATCTATTTTAAATTAAATCACATATTAGATGTTGAACTTCAAAAATGGCTCCAACAAGCACTCTAGCTTCGTCCCCTCGAAACCTGCGCATGTAGCACCCCGTCAACAGGCAAAGGCGGCCGGACGAGAAAAAGGTCCGACGACCGTTTGCACTCCGACGGTCAAATCAACGGCCGGACGGAACTAGATATATAGAGTTCAATAGTAGAGAGATGGGGGATTTGGCTAGAGTATTTAGAACATACCTTAACTTGTGAATTGAATCCATATATGTAGAGAAATGATGTGAAATGGGCTAGGGCGGGTTAATGGGCCTAAGTTTGAACCCAGTATGAGGTAAGCAAAGTGATAGGCACTTCGGCTGGGCTTTTTATGGCCTCGGTGGCGCCTCGGCTAGGCTTCTTAGAGCCTCGGCTTTGGAGCCCAACACTAATGGGCCTAGCTCGGGTCCAATAAAGTGGCCCAATATAGAATGATAATTCATAGGCATAACATTAGACATAAAAGTAACTATGTAAATAACTATATGAAACTGGAAACGAGAATATTTTAGGAAAGTTACACAATATACTTGAAAAAGTTAATATATTTCAACCAACTGTCCAACTTATTTTATTTCCCAAAGTACTGTTTTACACATTTTACAATAATTATTTTTATTCTTTTTGTAACATATATAATACTTGGAAAACAAAGCGTTATCACCGATAGCACTAAGGGTCTGTTTGATTTAGACGAATTCCACGGAAAACGTCATATTCGAGGAATTCGTTTTCTATTTTGAGTGTTTGATACAAAAGTAGAAATGAAGTTCGAATTCCAGGGTACAAACATTTAAAACATGTTTTTCACCAATTCCATGGAAATCGAATTCCTATGATTTTGGTGGCTTTTTCTTTTCCAACTTACATGAAATTAGTTTGTCTTTTCTACATTTACAATTAAACGGACCTTAAGTGTTAAGAGTATTTTCAATATGCTATTTATTTATGAAGAGCATTTTATGTATTATAGGGAACATCTATAAATTTAGAGAATCAAACATGTTATGTACTCCAACAATTTTCTCTATTTTGACTCTTTATTTTGCTTGTCTCAAGAAATATTTATTGATTTATTTTCATATTTTATTTAACATAATTTTTATATGTTAATAGCCAATCAATTTAAATGTATTTTGAATAGTTTAAGAGTAGAGTATTTAAATCTGTGACTTATTAAATGCAATATTACACATTAAGAAGAGAGAGTGAAATTGACTCTCTAAATTTATACAGCTAAATTCAGTCTGTATTTAAAAAGTTAAAATAGAGAATCAATTGGAGTTTACTTTTAAGCATTTACTCCTTAAAATAAGGTGCATTTTGTACTTAAGTGTGTCTCTTGGGAATAGGGGTGAGCAAAAAAATCAATCAAACCAAATCAAGTTGTATCAATTTTGGTTGGTATGAGCAAAACAATTGGTTGGTCTGGTTAATGTTAACCAATCGGATTGGGTTAGTTGCAGTTTAAGCAACCAACTTGTCAATTAACCAATTGAAATCACTAATACATTTTATTTTTTTCATTTTAAAATTCATATTTTATTGTAAACTCCAAATTTAGATTGTAGTCTTTTATTTTGATATAATAATTTGTTGATAACTATCAAATATATATATATATATATATATTCAGGTTGAGCACAAAATCAATCCAACCCCAACCATGCCCAGACCTAGTTAGAGATGCTCTTACATTGTGTAACAATTGTAAAAAGTTGTGCTGCACTACCTCCGTCACCAGAAATTACCACAAGATAGGTCACAAGTCACAACCAAGAAGAAAGAAAGAAAAAAGTTCTAAAAATTGTGAACCACCACCACCACAATTGGTTAACATAGTGTGTTGCAAGTGTTACAGAACATTGTTACTGTAACATACTCTATAAAGCCACCTCATTGCCACAAATCGATCACCACCAGAAACAAGAAATATACGATTTTAAGAATTACGAACCATCATCGCCATCACTCCAGCTATTCTATGCACAATAACACCTATATTCGAAAATTTTCAAATCTGGAATGTGACATGATATCGAGCATGTTTGAGCCCCATTTTTATTAAGGGATGTAATCTGGAATAGTAGATTTTATGAAGAATATGCATTTAAAAAATAAAAAATGGGTGTGTGTGTGTGTAATATTATTTTTATTGAATAATGTAGGATAGAAAAGAAGAGTTAAAAAAATATATTTAAAAAAAAGGGGATCAAACAAGGCCATATTAAATTTTAAAAAAAAAGTAACATTTACATTTTAACAAATGTCGTTGTATGCGAATTCTGATGGAATAACAATTCCAATCATTTTATCACGTTTTACATTCGTTATCTTGTTCCCGTTTGCCTCCATAACAGATGAACGCATTACTTTCATCCATATTTGCAAAAAGAATACAATTAAACTAGTGAGTCTTTTTTTTAAGTGATAAAATATAATCCCTCCACATTAATTCAGATACGACGGTTGAATAAAGTATTATATCAACTCACTTTTTAAATTTAAAGTAAGGTTTGAATTCATTTTAATATTTCAATTTTCATAAACACATATATGCATCGCTTTAATTGATTTTAAATAATTCAAATGAGATAGAGTGCCACATAAAAATAAAAAATAAAAAATAAAGTAATAGAGATTAATGTCAATTTTTCGTTTCTCATATTTGTATTTACATTTTTACAAATATCTTGCATGCATCACTTGAATTGATCAAAAATTGATTTTCTTGTATACTGTTCCAATCCAGTTTACGCAAGTTTTAATTCTAACATATATACATACATACATACATACATACATACATACATACATACATGCATACATACTAACTCAAATGTATTAATTTAAAGATTAAATATCACATGTACTAGAACAAAAAGTATTAACAACATTAAAAATCAAACAAGATATGAAGTAATTGTATCGAAAGTTAAAAATTTACAAACTTGTAGATTTGTTTTTGATTATATGCAAATTTGAGGAAGAAAATTTTGAAGAAAATGTAGTTAAAGCAACTATTCATCTTGTTTGGACTTCATTTGTGTAAGATTTCATCTTATGATTTTGATGTTGCCTGATCTGAAGTTTTGAGGATTCAGATTCTTGAGCTGCTAAATTGCCTCTTTCCAGTTTGTTGGTTAGAACGTAAAAAATACGGTAATAATAATTGAAATTATAGTATTTGTATTTTAAGTACACATTTCTCATAATTTTTCAAAAAAAAACCCTAAAATTAAGCTTATGTTTGGTCTCCATTTTTTTTTTTTTTCAAAAACTCAATTTTCTTAAAATTTATTTACAACCATACATTTTCTCATAAAATAATTTTACCTTTAAATAGAAATTTTCTCTTTATCTTTTAACCATATATTCTTTAAAAAATAAATATTTCAAAACACATTTTCCTATAAAAATGAGGCTCAAATAGGCGCTCAGATTATTTCAGTAAATTCCCCTCCTGAAATTATGTCATCTCGATCCTGCCCACCCCTTTCATCTCCCATGCATTCTCAAATTAGTCCAACTCATGTTAAAGATGTGGTTTTGTTGGAATTTTGTATTGAAAATTGATTGTGACCAATTTTACATGATTATTTAAGTGAAATTCTTAATTTGGTGAATGAGAAATTAAACTAATGTAAGCCGCTTTATACTTGAAATTTTTGAAAATTTGTATAGAATATTGAGAAATATTCTAGAAAGAGATGGATGAAAAGTTGTGTCTTTTCATAGGAATCCAATAATTATGAATTCCAAGACATGTCTCTTGGTGTGGGTGTATCTTTTGACATACCTATCCAACTATTATATATTGGCCAAATATGTTTGGATTTTATAATTTAAAAAGAATTCAAGAAATTCAATTCATAATTTC